TTGTCGGAGAGAACGTATTTGATGACAATGTAATTCATTGCTGTAAAAGCATACAAACATACACATTTGTGTTTTCTATGAAATGGTGCCATTCTTAAAGTATAGGGTGAAATTAACACAATAGTAGAGTCGACTTTCTTAGTGACTACGAGAGAACAAAGTAGGTTGGTGGATGGCTGACATATGTCTCTGGAGACAACTGTTTGTCAAATGGGAATATTTGATGAGTTACCTACTAAACATGACGTTGTCTAACTACAAAATGCCGTTATTCTTTTGCCGAGAATGCCCGTTGTTAAGATTCAAAGGCAATTTTGAAAATAGAGCTGTTCATGTATAACCCGGTGCCGGTGTATGATTCAATGAGTCGTTTAATTAGTCTTATCGTATTTGAATTGCCTTTCCATTAGGGTATATTAAATCGATGTCTGGTTCCAAAAGTAGACTGTTGCGCGTTTACCATATCTCCTTGTCTGTGGTATAGCGGTCAGGCGCTTCGGTGCTGTCCCACGTAGGAAGCGCGGGTTCGATTCCCGGGACAGGGGAACTGCGAAGAGTATTTTATTATAATGTAGAGGAGAGGGGGGGGGGTTGTAACAGTTTAGCTTGGTGTAATAGCTTACAGTATGGGATACAGCTAGACCAGAAACATTACGTTTCGTCTCGCTTTTCAATAATCAGAGCTCAGTCAAATCACCCTCTACTCTTGAGGGTGGGGAGTGGGAGGGGGTTGAGATTATTTTGTTCACATGGTTTTTTTAACTTTATGTAATACAGTTGTTGCCGTCGCTGTTGAACTGTAAAAACACATTCCACTTCTGAAGCTTTCTATGGTGTTTTACAACGTGAACAATGAGAAGCCCCTCACGGTGTCTACGTAATATATTGACAGGTTTGATGGAAGTCAACAAGCTCACGAAAGGACGAAGGCTGACTTGTTTAACCTGGTAATCTGAGTGAGACGAAGAACAGAATACAGATAACCCCACGCACGGCAATACGCACAAAATTAAAATAAGCTTTTATGTTTTAAAAATTCAAGACAAAATCATTCAACTATGAATGAAAGCTAATCCCAAGCACCAAAATAATAGAGAAATTATAATCTCATTTAACATATATTCCCACTTTCGGCACAAGGCAAATATAGATCTATTAACTTTTAAACCTATGGTAAGCATTTGGTCTCATCATTTTAAAAAAAAAAGTAAATCTAACTAGAAATGAGAATGCACAAACATAATAACAATGGAAGTAGATCTACCAATAATGGACGAGACTGGGAGGACTCAGACATAGGGTACTTGATTCGGGAGTTTGAGGTCGCTCCCCCTGAGGCGAGGGGATACAATATTCTGTGTAAATTGTGCCCTCTCGATTTGGGCTCGAGGACCCTGCGCCAGAATCTCTCCAAGCTCAATCGGACTCGAAAAGATTACTAGGGGCAAAGGATCAGGGAGTAGAATGCTGCAATTGTAAAGATCATAATCTGCCAACTTGCTATTTACAACCCGCTTACAAATACCCCCAACATACCTGCCACTATACTGTCTTCCTACTTAGCTCCTCTCTACACGTGTCTTGGCCCGATAGAATAGGCTAACACTAACGATGTCACCTTAGGAGAGACTGAACCCACCATTTCGGAACTTCATGGTGACCGTAAAGATGGTTCCAGTAGGGAACGGGATAGAGGGTGCCCACGTCCCTCGTGACTCATTGGAGCAGAGGAAGATAGGACTAACGCTAACAGTACTTAAACGAAATCCCTCATCATCCCTCATCACCACTATTAATGATAAAATTATCACCTCTCTCAGATCAATGACTTACATCTATAATCCTGGAATCTCTATCCGCTATTACAGTTAATTGATATACTAAGTATGCATGTAATACACTATTGGACACAATCATATGCACTTTTTTCTACTAATCAGATGGCGTCAATCTCATATAAATGGGCAAGGGGAAAAAAATAAAAAATAACATCATATCATTTTCACTATAATAAGAGTTGTCAAAAATTCGTTGCGCAACTTATCCTCAAATATTTCCTCAACGGGTAAATCAATGTCATCCATGCTTTGAACAGCTCTTTGTATTAGTTTGTCTTAACTTAATCATATTTTTCCACTACAATTGAGGCTAAATTTTAAAAACTGTACTTCATAAATTTATATAAAATACTATAATTATCTCTTTCACCTAGAACATAGGATTGTTCAGAGCATTCCCCACAAATTTGACATACGCATATATAGCCTACGTCACAGTTCACCAAAGACACATTTTTTTTGTGTGGCAAAACTTGTTACAAGAAATTGGCTTCATAGTAACAATTTTTTTTTTCACTTAAGGTTCTCAAAACATGTGTTTAATTTAAAAAAAAAAAAATAGTGTGACGATTCGAAAAAAAAAAAAACCGGACTTGCTTTTAAAAGCGATATTGCCCCTCACTACCTCAGAATTGCAAAGTTCTATCTGATATGTTTGGCCGTTTTGAGTTACTAGGTGCATGAGGTTCTGTCTGTTCTATAAAGATTGAAAGATAATTCGGAATCGTTATCAAGATATGCACAGAATTACATTGTTCTATCTGCGTACCGAAAGATCTTTACAGAATTACAAAATTCTATCTGCAAGAAAAAAATTGTGTTACGATACGTTTGAATCAAGAGCTCGTCAGTGTTGGATCATATAAAGTTATTGCAATCATCTTAAAGTTTGTTTATTTACCTTGTTTTTTGGAGATAAAAAAATATGCATCTATCTTGAATAGCAGTCGAGATATTCGCGATTGAAGAAAGTGAGGGTTATCTGCTGTCAGGGTTTAAACTAGCGAGAAAATGGCTAACTAAATAAAAAATCAAGGCTGACTTAGATCACATAATACTGAGTCTGTTGCCGAAACATAGTAATAAGCATTGTGTATCAGTACCATGATCAATAATATCATGACTAGTCGCTCTTCTCCGGGTGAATTTTTTTTTTCTGCTTTTAAAAATACTGTTACTGTTCCCAGATCCAACGCGATTCACAAGTGAGGAGAACATTTTTATCGAGTATCTCGGTCTATCTACTGAGCTTGTGTATCTCTCTTAGCCCCCATTGGCTCTAAACGGTAGGGTCAGAATCCCACCTCCTAAATGGTCTAAATTGTGTCGATGTGAACACAAAAATTTTTTTAATAGTCCAGGTAAATATGTTCCGTTTTCGGACAGATGCCAGGGGGGAGGGGTGTGAAAAGTTGTTACATGGAGGACTCAAGTAGCTGACCTAGTTGTTGTAACGGATTCTGTGGTACTCTATCATACCACTATGTCAATGTCATTGAACTTACCTGACTCACAATCACAATGACCAGAACATTGTAACAACTGAGGAGTTCAACTCAAAACAATAAAAATTGCCTCCGAGGAGAATATAGCTTTTGAAGTGACGTAGGCCTTTTGCTTACAGCGACCTTTACTGAGGCGCGTCGTCCAAAAGGATATCCACCTCCATGACACCAGGATAATGTTCACACACCAAGTTTATTTTTTCCTTCGATTATCACGTCGACACTGTGGCAACCAATCCGCTTAATTAAGTCCACATTTTGAGAATTTTCAAATGTTACACCCTCCCAAAGCTCTATCAAAGATGAACCTTTCAACATCACCAAAATGCAGTTCAATGCCATGGTCAAGGCTAACAATTTTCTGGCTTTCTATGATTCCTGATAGAAAAAATACAACAAAAACGACGTTTTTTCCTCTGGCGTAAAATAAAAATATACCCAAACAGGTTTAAGGTGCTTGTACGCAACGCCAGCGATGTGGAGGTGTGCTATAAAGCCCCTTTTCACCAGCAAGGAGGAGACTGTCTTGTATTTCATTATACTTGCCAATGTTTCATGACCAAAAAACAAAGACAACCCCCCCCCCACGACAGACTATGCGGCTCCTCAAACTGATGGGCAGAGGTAAATTAAGTATCTCCATCCCAAAACCGTCACACGCTTTTCTGCATTCAAAGCACACGTGCTACCACCAGAGGCAGCAAATTTAGCAAACTTCCATGACGTACGTGGTATGGCACGAGGTTAAAAAAATACATATTTTAGTGACCTACCATTCGTGCCATTAGCCAACAAAGGGGTTAACATCATTTTGCTAACTGGGATGTTAAGCTGAAGCGACGCTGATTACTTTGAACTCTGGCCATCAGAACCAATTTCTTATTGGAAAATCAAGAAAAGCCTTATTCGTGAGGTAATAGGACCCATGTCCTTTGGGTTTCAAGGCAAAGAGCCTGTTATTCCACAACATACGCTAATACATGTATTTATCTTGCAATTTTGGTAACACTGTGTCTTGAATACCACAGTGTCGTTTCTTATACGAAATCACAGTCAGATCAACGTCAAGATAACAAACACGAAGAAGATCGTTTTGTTAAGATACAGAATTTAATACACAGACATCGCCAAGAGGAAGACAAACACAAATAAATGCGCCGTACAATTCAGTTTCCATTCACCCACTGGTTTAACCATGTATCCTATAACGGGTTTCACACTAAAATACAATCGCTGACGACTTCTGTCCAATAGTTTGTATTTCCATTTATGAATTACCATTTCCAAACATGAATTCAAATACATGATACACATACACATTCGATCCTTGATCAAATGGCTACTACCTTCAGCATAAACTTATACCAAAAACATCTTTTGCATGGCAACACATAAACATAATATAAGTAAATAAATAAAATAAATAAATACATAAATAAACGAACAAGCAAACTAATAAAAAAAATAAGCAAAAAATAATAAAAAAAATAAGCAAAAAAATAAAAACAATAATGATTAGGATGATAAAAATAATAATAATAATAATAATAATAATAATAATAATAATAATAATAATAATAATAATAATAATAATAATAATAATAATATTAATTTTTTTAACCCAATAATAACAATAATAAAATAAGAATAATGATACTAATGGTATAATGAAAGTAACAATATTCTCACATCCAGTTACGCTATGTGATGAGTTTCACAAAAACTAATGCCAATAAGACTACAGCTCAGTGTGGACGTGGTCGTGTTTGCTAGGGTTCTCCAAGATTAAAGTTTCTTCTTGCTGTTTCCTTTTTGTGTCGTCCTTCCTCTTTTTCCTAGACTCCTTCACCTCGTTGACCAAGCTCTGCATATAGGTCAGAACGTTTTTACGGCGTTTCAACGTCTCTCGTTGCTTGGTGGAAAGTTCTGGAAGGATTAGATGAGCACGAGATGATACAGGTTTTAATACACTGACATTTCAAAGACGAAGACAACTTCAAACACGTCCCTTAAAGTACAGCTTCTGTTTAACCAGTGATTTAACTATTTCTCCTAGTATTGCTGTCTTTTATCGAGTAGTTTATAATCTCCATAATTTTTTAAGAATAAATAAATTATAAACATAAATCCAAGTAGATGGACATACCCATTTAAACCTTGATATATAAAAGTCAAAACCAACAGAAAAACAGAAAACAAAAAGACATCGCAACTGAAATTTTTCCCCCAGGATCAAAGATTGGGGAAAAATACGGGATGCTTTCTTAAAATTGTGTCTGTAACTGTAATTTTTCTTAAAGTATCTATCCATATCTGAGTGTGGAGATCAGACAAACAATGAAACAAACGCCTTTGCATTGTGTCAATGAGTTGAAGTATTTTAAAATTGGAATCTATAGTCTGACAACATCAAATGGACAACTTGTTGACCTAATTACTTTAAGTGGCGAATTGCTCTGAATTTTTGCTTACGCCTCTGAATTCCAAAAGACCTTTTTAAAAAATTCGATATTTGTGCATATGCGACACATATCAAAAGGTGTTTTCTACATAATCATCAGTAATTAACTACAGTCTGGGCGGGGATCTTTGATTAGAACAAGAACGGTAGTTGAGTGTTAGTTGTTATTGTTGTTGTTGTTGTTGTTGTTGTTGTTGTTGTTGTTGTTGTTTGTTTAAGCTGTTTTCTCATTTTTAACTGACTGCGTGTGCCACAAGACTAAGTTGTTGTCAGTCCAGCGGGTTAGTGGGTGACAGTGTGTTTATTAAGATTGACTAGATTCTAAGTGTGATATAGCCTATACAATGAGTAAAATTTCTTTCATATCTTCACAGTCTTTAAGATCGCACCCGTTTCAATTTGTCATAGTTGCTTTTTTCAGTTAATCGAAATGGTTAGATTAATTAATTTACAAACCCAAAACAACGTCGCCCTAAAACTACTTAACTATTTCTTCAAAGAAGGTGATTGAGGCGTTTCTTTTATTCTATAAAACAAAATCCCGCGAAAAGGACAAGACATGCCCTAATTAGGACTACCCATGACTACGTTGCCTAGACAACAAATAATAAATATACAAAGACGCATAATACTTCCAATTATACTACTTTCAGATTCAGATGGCTCTAAAATGTATGTGTAGGGTGGGGGGGGGGGGGGGGAGGCCTTCGCCTATGGACCTGCACTGTGGGTGGGGGTTGCCCAGTGTCATGCCGGTATAAGCATTTTCAATTTTAGCGCTCTGCTGACCCCTGGTTTGGGGTTTACCCTAACCAATCCCCCCCCCCCCCCACACACACACACACAGGAACGAAGGCTGACTTGTTTGACAGGGTAATCAAAGTGAAACGGGACCAGATATGGCCTATAGATATGACACAAGAATCTTACTCGAGGCGGCGACTCTGAATTGTGAATGAAAATAAAAACCGGAATTCATATTGTATGCTCAACCGCCAAAATAATCGGGAAAGTATCTTATTAAATATCAGTTCTAACTAAAATTAAATTTAACTTTAGATGTGAATACATAAACACAAAGCAAAGAAGCAGAGACGTCAGTACTAGATCTATATGTTATAGATCTACCAGTGAGTCTAACTCTTTGGTAGAACATGACAATTATCATTTTTTAAATTTTACATTTGGCTGTTTTTGTTAGCCTTCCGCGGCCAGGAGCTGGTGTCATAATCGAGGTCACGATCTGATTATAGGACGGTAAAGTGTCGAGGAAAAAAAGCAAGTACTTGCAACAGTGAAGAAATTGTTAGGAGTTAGTTCCCCTCACATTTGTGAGGTAGACTCGACCAGTGTTAGTTAGCTTACATAATCAGGGCTTGAGATTGATTTTAACTGTGACCCTCAAGGGGTGAACAGGGTATATGTGGCAATGAAACAGCTTAGACTGCTATGCACATGTTCCCTTCAACTATATTGGTGGACTCTTCCAGCCTCACTTTAAGCTTACTTAATCAAAGCTTGCGACTGCTTATAGAGTGGCCCGAGAGGGGTGAGGAGGCTATTTCTGTGGCCGTAAAACCGTTTTGAATGTTAGGCATAATGTTCATTGTTGATTACGAACGTCTTTTGACATTTAATTTAAGAGGTTTACGTTTATGGATGAATTTGTCAGTGACAATGTTTCAAAATTAGGAAGGGAAGCAGTGATTATTTGATTATATAGACGCTTCGCCCCTGCCCACACTCACACACACCCCGGAAACCTCTAGCTAAGCCGCTGCAACGACACCCTTTATTGTTATGACTTTCGCAAGGTGATGTGTTTGCTATAAAAAGTGTGCAGTGTTGCGTTAAATTAGCAATTGATTACTAACGATTATATAGACAGCACCTGTTTATTTTGGTGACATATGAATGAAAATCGAGATTTCTTAGGGGGGGGGGGGGGGGGGGGGCTACACCTGAAGGCTATCTCGCTTATTACTGGACCGAATTTTACCAACTTTCACACATAAAACAAGCATAGTAAGTATTCTTAAAAACCGCAATCAAATTTGAGAAAATGTTTCGTTTCCATGGATACGGCGGCCATATTGGATTTTGTTGACATGTCTTACGTAATGAATACCGCACTTACTGCTTATGGAAATTACTTTTTTTTTTGCATGCGTGTTAACAAACATTAGATCTTTAAAAAAATTGTTGTTTTTTTCCTAAACGAATTTTAAGATTTTTTATGAATTTTTTTCTGAGGTACCATTCAAGTTTGCAAAAAAAAAATCCGTGAAAATTCACATTCAAGACACCACCAACAAAAAACTATTCCAAATATAAAAAATTCAACAGACAAAGTTTTAGCATTATATCTTCACTTCATTCTGTGAAAATTTCATGAAGATTGGATGAAAAATGGTGGAGTTATTAAAAAATGTATAGAGAAAAGTCGCGTTTTGAGAAAACGGCCGGTAAAGGAAAAATAAAATATTGACTTTATGACGAAATGGTGATGATAAACATGCCCGGTATGGGAAAAATACGGTTTTTGGGGGTTCTTATGCAATGAAATAGTTGTAGGAGAGGCTGAGGAAGCTAAAAATGCCTACAACTCAAATTCCATAATTTTGAGCCGAATCGGGGGTTTGGGGGGTGTAGCCCCCCCCCCCTTCCCCTTAAGTCTTTTTGAAATCATAGGCGCGTGCAAATTATCGAGCAATACGCCATTTAGATCGGAGTAATGAGGTCGACAAGTTAACAATTTGGTGTGGCCCAGACTCCAATGTCTGTTCTTCAATCCACAATATATCGTGTAGAATACTAATTGGACGTTCGCTTTCGTTCTTTTTTTCTTTTTTTTTTTGGTAAGCGTTTTACGGCGCTCACAACTGCATAAGGTCACATGAGCGCGATGGACACATTACAATTTTTCGGTTGGTAGGAAATTTTGGATTCTGTCCGGGTGGCGGCCAAAGCTTACTCTTATCGATTTTGACCACCAAGGGATCTTTAACATGCGCAACTTGCACACGGGCCCTCCGAGATTGTTCGCCTTTGTCGGAGAAGGCTAGGTGTAGATCTTTCCTACCAGAAGATCAAGGGTGTGGCTGAAAGACAGCAGTAAGAAGGAGCCAAGGAGTACCAGTAGAAAGGCTGCAGAAAGAGTCAGGAGCCCAGAAGAGGGGGAAAAGGAGGTGACGAGGTGGGGGGAGAAAGAGGAGACGAAAGCAGACGACAGAACATTGCGAGAGAGCAAGAAAGGAGGTGAAAGGAGACAATTTTCGAGAATAAATTTTTCGGTCGCTACTCGGATTCGAACACGGGACCTTTGATTGAGAGGCCAACACCTTGACGTCTAGGCCACAAAGCCCCTCCTTTGTTCTTTTTACTGAAGCCTAGCTTATGGTCAAGAGAAAGGGATCACATCAAAATGCAGAATTTTCGCATCCTGTTGTGGGCTAAAAGCAAAATAAATATTTGAATCATTAATGGTTCATCATAAAGGTTGCACCGTTCTTAAGAAATCGTCAGCAAATTTGCTGAACGTAAAAGCCGAAGGACAAAATCATGTACATGCATAAAGCTATAGACTCTAGCGAGTTCATTTTTCTGGTTTCAAACGTGGTACCGCTAATAACAAGATTATAGTTCTTTTGAATCCATGTATTCATATTTTCAAGTTACCATTTTGTATGCGTGTTTCACTGTCTTTTCAGTCATTATGCATTTTATAAAATAATCTGAGCGATCTCAAAGTTTGGTCACGGCAAACCTGACCCTCTTTTCAACCTGCACGACGCCACTGGGAAAAAAAACCCTGCTCCCCTCATGGTTCCGTCAGCCTCAAGGTAATTTCATTATTTTCCAATGACCGCCCGTTCAACTTTCCGGCACCTAACACCCACTCTCAGCCCTCTCCTCACCTTTACCTCGATCTCAGAGAAGGTGTGTGTACGGGGAGGAAATGAAGAATATAATATGTGGGAGGGGGGGGGGGCATCAACGTAGGAGGTGTTATAAACAGAATTATGATTCCACACCATACAAGGTTCGACCTCCTAAAAGGATAAACGCAACCGAGGAGCTCAGATGTTTGGATGTAGGTGATTGTTCGGTCAGCTTTGTTTGATGTTCTCATTTGGCCAAATTATTATGGCTCTGACATTTATGCATCATGCAGGGCAGTAGACGAAGAACAAATAAAAATTAACTTCAATAAAAAGTAGGAAAAGGTATTAAAATAAAAAAAATTCAATAAGGAACAGAAAGAAGAGACATTTTGCTACCATAGAATTACAAAGTTCTTTCTGACATTTTTGGCCGTTTTTGAGTTACTAAAACCATGATCAAAATAATCGTAGGAGTATTCGGAGTATCAAGATATTCAAGGAATTGCATTCGAAAAAGCTTAAGATATTGTCAACCTCAAAATGTTTATATCAACTTTCTCCAAACTAGGGGCTGAGGAGACAACTTTGTAATTCGAAAGTAGACGTGCGTCAGTGAAAAAAGTTACGAACTAACTCGAAACCTATTTTGTTTATCCATTGGGTATTAGGCACACACAGTTATAATACAATTTTATGTTTTGTTTTTGTGTGTTTGTAAGTTTGTTTTTGTTCCTCAACAGATATGGTTTAGAGAAAGAAATCTATTGTCCTCTGTGTTTTACTAAACGATTATCGTTAGATAGTACGACTCTGCTGCAAGTTAGCTATGTTGGCGCCAGAAGTAAGGCATACATCCCCACACTACAACAACAATGGAAATGGACTGGTCGCATTGGAAAAGTGAAGGAAAACAGACTGCCAAAAAAGTATACGGATTGAAGACCAAGAACAGGAAAAATAAATCTAAAAGAAGACCAATGGAAGAATGCAGGGCGACATCAAAGAGAAGAATCGTACTACTTGGGCACAAAAAAACAGCTGATAAAACAGACTGCAGGTCGTTGTTGCAAAGAGCTACATCCACCAGTGGACTAACAACGTCAAGAAAGAAAGAAAAGAAAGAAAGTATCTAGATCTAGTATGGCAGAAAGAGATCCCTTTCCCTTTGGAGAAGCGCCTTAAATAGACATGACCCTACAACTTCAAGAAATAGATATCTAGATATAGCTTAAAACGACGATTGGTTATCATATTGGCTTAATTTAAATCCCCCCAAATCCAACTCAAACGGAATCAGAAGTTTGTTATAAATCATATGAACTTTTTGTTTTTATGAACAGCCTATAATAACGTTTGAACAACAACGATAACAATAACAAATAAAAAATAAACCCTCAATAACCTTCTTTTTCGGACAGCTTCTCCTCCTCGCCTCGAATGAGCTCCCTCAAGATGGCAACGTTTCCAGCCATTGCAATGTTGTCCAGTACAAACAGATAGTAGTCGAGCATTCTGTGAAGAACAAATACAATTTGTTAAAACTATAATTTCTTGGTAAAAGCATGCTGTGTTTTACACTATTCGTACGTTGTGTTTTACTATCGTATCCACACGACGTGGAGAACTCTGTGCCACCACTTTCCAAAAAGGAAATTTACTCATTAATCCGATCCGTACACTTTGCATAGCAGTCTGTTAAAAGGATTATTGGAGAAATACTGAAAGTTTGAAAGAGATCTTTACGCTAGAAGTATTCATAAATGTGAAGAATACAACCCTGAGGGTTCAAAATGACCCCAGGGCGTACGGGTAGGGTTAAACAGCGTCTATTGCATAGCGGGTACACACTTCGCAACTGCACACATAAATCTTTATAAATAATACACAGACACACACACACACACACACACACACA